CTTCTAGGTCTATATATGCACTTTTCCAGGTTCTGCCGCTTCCCCAAACTGGCCACTTCCTTCTTCGCGGCTGTGCCTGCCGACCTCACGGTCGGGACACTCTGTGCCGCAAGCACGCGGCTGCACGTGATAAAAGCCAGGAGCATCGAGCAGAGCAGATCGGAGCGCACCGCTTGAAGCGTGCTTTGCACCACGAAGATGACGTGTGTCATCTGGAGGTGCGCATGCAAGGAACGTACGGATGGCAGCCCGCTTGCACCGTCGCAGAGGCGCGCCCGCACTAGCGTTCAACATGGGCAATTAAGCAAGACAGAGCCTCCCTTCGCAGTCGACCGGTGCACTTATTAGGTAGAAATCTTCCGTGAGCCGTAACATGCGAGTGCCCTCCTCCACTTGCTCCTCCTCTCTTCTCTGCCTGAATGTCTGTGTCAGGAACAATTGCAGAACTATTTCGCGCGCAGAGCGCATGATCGCATATCCCTTCGCCGGGACAATGGGGCTCGCCAACGAGCAATGAGGTGGCAGCCGCGTAGGCAGCGCTCTTTCCTGTCTTCGTGGAGCTCCGCGGGTCCCCGCAGTTCTTCTGCGTGTAAGACCCACAAAGAGACTGAGGATTGTGCTGGATCATCTGAAGCTGTTCCTATCACACATGTCTACATGCTGCCTGCTTTTCCGCGTAGTTGTGTTTGCTGCAGGATCATGTGGCGGCGGCGGCCCGCACGGCCGGCTTCCTCATGGCGATCAGCGAGAGTGGCCTTGTGGTGCACATCGATGAAATCATCGGTGCCGAGTCCCTCTCCCAGCGGTACCGCTTCTTGAGCGTTGTCGCCGATCGGATGCCAGACTTGCGGTGCATCGTGCACGATGATGCATGTCACCTTGCACAGATGGCGGCATTACAAAAAGGGACTTCGGCCCTCAGCCAACGCCTGGCAAATCTGCGTTTTGTCGTCGATGAGTTCCACTCGACTGCTCATGTGGGCCAGTGGTGCAAGGAGAACTGCCTTCCTGGACTCCCGCAGAATCAGGCAGTGCTCGATAACTTTCCCACGTCCATGGCTGAGTCAGTGAACCACAATTTTTCGCCATTCGGGCACACCATACACCATATGGGGCCATATTTGGCTAAATTCTTCGCAGCAGAAATGGCCGACATTCACAACATCAAGTTGCTGCAGATTGCCCGCGATAAGGCTCAGGTTGCAGAGAGGATCCTTGACTCAATCTATCCTTCTCTTGCAAGCGCACTCTGATGCTGCGATGTTCGTTCGGGGCATCCTTTTTGATTCATTCCTCGGCCGAGGCGAGGAAAGCGGCGAAGAACAGAGCCGGGGGCCCAGGGCCTTCTTGCGTCTACAGAGGTGGTGTCAGCTTCATCCCTGCCCGTTCAACATGGCATGTACTGCATGCCATGACATCACGGAGATACGAACATGTAGGTGCACGATGTGTCCTCTTGCGCATGCTCGTGTGTTGGATCTCAGGTGAGACCGCCGGCCTGCTATAGCTGCTTGGCCCTGCAAGGTGCTACTATTCTCAGGCTCGCGAGGCCAAAGCGGTATAAAATCGATACGTTGCATGCATCAGCCTGTGTCCCTGTCCTGCGCTGCACAATCTATGCCTTTCGCTCTGCCTGACTTGCTTCAAATTGAGAGGCTCTCCGTAGGTTCAAGCCACCGATCCCAGAGCTAGACCGGCTCCGCTTATAGCGCGACCCAATGCCACGCTCAGCAGAGGACGAACTCACTGAGCAGCAGGTGCGGTACCTGATGACCCGGGCCCAGGCAGTGGTCGACCAGAACTTTTCTTTGGATGACCACGTCCCGGACAAAATCCGGGAATTCATCACGCCCATCCAAGCCTCGACTTGTCAGGGCGCCTTTGCCTCCTTGTGCATGGTTACCGCTTCCATGGCCGCTCTAACAAATGGCGCCAAAGTCCAGCTGTGGAGCCAGAAAGCATCCCCTTTAGTGTGCATCATGCTGCAGGTTGCCCAGGCGCAGAAAGGCAAGAGCCGCCTCTGGGCGGTGGCAGAGGAGATGCTCGACACATGTGACGACATCTTAGCTGAGCATGCGGCGCAGCTGGCAGAGGGCCTC